GTCTTCTCAATCGCCTGGTCAAGTAGGTTTAGGATGAAGAGGGTATTGCAACAACACATGGTAATTTCTCGTGTCATGAGAGGCCTGCTTTTGGATTGTAGGTCTGCTCATATCCTTTGGGGATAGATTGGCAAGTAACTGTCTGAAGTTGTCAGTGACATCATTTAGCAACTCTGTGGCCACAATGTTGTTCAGTTCTTTTTTGAAGAGCCTTGTGTCTGGTGCTGTTTTATCAGCCGGGACAAAAGTCAAGAGAAGGTAGTCCAACCATCTGCGTAGCTAAGTGTGTGTCCCACAGCATGTTTGTGTACCGTATACTTGAAGCGTGGTAGAAAGACTCTATGACGACTCCATCCACATCAAGCATGTATTCAAGAAAATGATGGGGATAGGACACTGTCGTAGAGTGCAGTCCCACAAATAAGTGGGCATGCATGAACTCTTTGACACTGCTGAACTTTGCAACTGAATCCAGCACATTTGATGTGTTGTCTATGCCCACATCAAATAGTTCGTCTGGCACATTCATGGCAATTGGTGTATTCAGAATCTGAAAAAGTAGCAATTGTGAGTGAAGATGAAGAAAGAAATCTACACATCCACGTAACATGTAAAACAACATTGTACATTTAACACTTAAGTACATTTGGGAATGAGGGCATTAACCACAATTAGAAATTAATGAATAACTTTTGACAGGAAGGCGGTGGAGCCAAACGGTTTGCGGTGTTGTACTTGGGGTGGAATTTCCAGTGGGACTCGAGTGTTTTGAGGAAGATTTGAGGCATGGCTGCAGCATATATGCCGCATTGCGGACAAAAAAGTAACAGCTAAATTCACAATGTCAAATGTCCGGTGACTTTTTGAGAAATAACTTTTGATAGGAAGGCGCTAGAGCAAAGGTTTGCACCGTTGGACTTGGGGTTGAATTTCAAGTCGGACTGATGTGTTTTGGAGACAATTGGAGAGTAGCTGTCAGAGGCTGTCCCACCTGCAGCATATATGCCGCATTGTGGACAGAAAATGACAGCAAATTTCTAAGTGTCAAAAGTCGAGTGAGTTTTTGGGAAATAACTGTTGACAGGAAGGCGCTAGAGAAAAACGGTTTGCACCGTTGGACTCGGGGTTGAATTTCAAGTCGGACTGATGTCTCTCCTGGATGGGAAGATTTCCATGAAAATGACCCCCTCACTAGCAGGCATCCATGCCCCCAACAGGGGCAAAGAATTGACAATTGGGAACATAGACCCTTCCATTGTAAGTGATGCCAAATGTCAGAAAATAAGGAACTGAGCATTTTCTGACAAATGGCGACACCTACAATGGGGGGGTCACTGTTCCTATTTGTCAGACTGGGCCTTAGGCTAGGAACAATTACCAAATCCCCCCATTTTATAAACTTTACACATATATATAAATATACAAGATGTAAATCTACATATACAGTACTATACACACACACACACACACTATACACTTATACACATATAGTATAAGTGTATATATATGTGTACTATGTGTATGTATACTAACCTACAACATAAATAGGAAAACAACATAAAAGATAGCAACAATTACTGCTAATCTCTATAGTCGACCCCAGCAGAAACATTTCACTGTGATCACCTGCAGACCTTCAATTCTCTCTCAGCGCTTGACTTCTACACTTGGTAAGTGTGCGTGATACATTCCCTGAAAGTTTCATTCAAATCTAGGAGAACTTACAAATGCAAGAAACGGGCTTGGCATTACACACATTAGACAGTAAAAGCCACATTAATTCAAAAATTCTTGTAAAACTGTTTGGAAATTGCTATTGCAAAAAAGATTTGAATCTATGAATCGCAGCTTGTAACGGCATACTATGTTATGTACTGACTTTCCTTTCTGCAAGTTGTCTTTAGCAGAGTGTCTTTTTCAGATAATGGCTGACTCAAGTGGAGTGGAAGAAGGCAGCGACTTCAGTCCAGTAATTATACATTAAATACATTTCTGTAAATCTGTATGTTTACACCATGCATAAATTATTCACATGCCATTGGATATTTTATTTCCCACAGGCGTCGACCGTATGGCTGTCGCGGACAGTAAGTTGTGTATTCTTGTCTATAAATGATGCCTGTCCATGTCCCATCGTGCACTGGGAGTTCTTTAATTTAATGACTTTTTTCTTAATGACATGAGGTGAAAGTAGCTTTTACACTTTTCCTTTACAGTTTCAGCACAGCAACCATGCCAGGATTTCATATATTGCAAAATATTACATTATTAAAATTGTTAACACCATGACTGAAGACAGTTTCGTCATTCAAACTACTTCTATAGCTGTCAGCATTGTTGTTTAAATAATCCCACACTGATGTTTCAATGAATAGTTTGAATTGAAATACTGGTGTGGAATTACGTCAAACAGGACACTGAATGCTATTTAACTGGCTTGAATTTTGGCATCTAATTATATTGTTTATTGTATATCTGTGAATTCTGATTATTCAGTCATATTTAACAACTGTTGGGTTGTGCCATTTTGCAGGAAAATGACTTCCGAGTGACCTCAGATGAGGAACACCACCAGCCTGTGCCTCGTCCTCCTCCTCCTCCTCCTCCTCCTCCTCCTCCACCTCATCCTCCACCTCCTCCTCCACCTCATCCTCCACCTCATCCTGAATTAGTTGAGGATGATGAGAACGTAATGTATAGTCTATACTAAAAATCATTTGAATTCACATATTTATGTGCATTCATTATATATATTTTTTTCTCCTGTATTTTACAGATGAGTATGACCCCATGGAAGGAGACTGATGTTTTTTTATTTATATAGTTTGGTGAAGGCGGAGATCTGTTTTTTCAGTTTTGTTCCAATAAATTTGAAAAACAAATCTACTAATCTCTTTGTATTTTTCCTGTAGTTTTGATGGTAAATGCAGTTTCAGGCACAAACGTTCACCCAGCAGTTCAGACAAAAAATCTCTCTTTAGTCCATCCACACAGATTGAACACTGAATTGAAAAAGTATGTACAGATTTTAAACTTGAATGGTGAATGCCTTTGCACACAGGTTCTCTATGCTGAGCTGAGGCAGCTGAGGAGCAGTTTCAGCCTCAGACTCAAAGAGCTTAGAATCAAAGGTATCAGACTCCACAAAGCCACAGCATCCAACATCTCCCATCTCCACTGACAGACTCTATTTATTAAATAAATATTTTTACTTTATTAGACACAGAGACACAGACAGCATAGACACTGACACAGGGTGCCTGAATACATGAGACCAGGGGTCAAGCTGAGGTGAGAGAGGAAAAAGAAGCAGACTCTGGTCAGGCTGGTGTCACTGAATAAAGGGGGGCTTCATCAGCCTCAGCTCATGATTTCAATGCATGATCAGCATCCAGCCAATCAGAGCACTAATGATCCTGTCAATCATCCTTCCACTTTTCAACTTTAAGCAGCTGGGCAGAGTTTATCACAGAGGGACCTGGACAGTTAGAGCTGGAGTTTGAGAACTGTTGGAGAACTTCAAAAAAGGCTGGTAGCACATCGGAAAGTAAGATTCTATCTCTTTTTATCACTTTCTCTGGAATGCTAGCTGTGTGTTAATTATTATTTCTTTAGAAAAATGTGTGCTCAAGTTTTAAAGGTATAATTGACTTCATGACAATGAGTGACGGTGTTGTGAAAATTCTGAACTGCATTTAATTTAAATGCAGCACACAATTTAGAATAAAACGGCTGTCTAATGTAGTGTTTTACAGGCGGTAATACTAATAATAATCCCCATTTTTAAGTCTGAGGGGGACGAAGGGAGGGAGGGAGTGCGCACCTGTCAGCGCACCGGCGCTGGCTCAGCTGGATTTCAGAGCCACGTTCCGCCGATCCGCCTTTACTGATTTTTAAACATGCTTAGGTTTTAAGGGTGCTTTAATTTCAATGGTTGCAAAGTGTTACAATGTTAATAAGTCCGTCTGAGATCTGAGGCATTTTCATTTCCTTTTTGTGTCGGACAAATCTTAACCATTTGGCAATTTTATTTATTTATTTTTATTCTGAACAGGGCTTTAATTTAAATTCAACACACAATTTAGAATAAAACCGCTGTCTATTGTAGTGTTTTACAGGTGGCTATACTAAAAATAATCATGATTTTTAAGTCTGGGAGAGGGAGAAGAGGGCAAGGCTGCCTTTCAGCGCAACAGGCTCCCTGGCTGTTTCTTTCCTTTTTTCCCTCGATTTCACACAGTTTAACTGCACTTGAACTATATGATTCCCTGTGTTATATTAAAATGTGATTGTGTTAATTCAAGTTCATAACCAGTAATTCTTTGTTTTTTTCCCTGCAGACATGACGCTCCCTAAAAAGAGCAGTTGCTGTCCAGTGTGCTGCAAAGTGTACAACGCCATGTCTAACCACTTTCGAAACGGCCACAGTGTGGCCAACCCAGAGGAGAGGAGTCTCCTTCTAAATCTGGCGACCAGGAGGGTCAATGTTAGGCTTTGTGCCTGTCCGGTCTCTGGGTGCTCGTACAAGAGCACCCGACTGGACAGGCACCTCCTGGGAAGACACCCTGAGCTGGCACCGGAGGAGGTGAAGGCACACATGGAGGCTATCAGGAGGAGAAAGACTCTGACGTCGCTGGCCGCCCTCAGGGCAACCAACCCCACGCCTCCCATGGCAACAGCCCTGGACCTGGAGCTATAGGAAGAGGGGGACAACGAGGTCCAAGTCCCTGAGGATGTGCAGGAGGAGGAGGAGGAGATGTTCTCCAAACCAGACTGCGTGCTGCATAGACAGGCATTAAGGACAATGCAGCAGAAGAACAAAGACTTGGAGCAGGAGCTTGGCGACCTCAGGCGCCAATTTAAGTAGCTCCAGAAGAGGGCCAGGCGATTGCGAAGCAGCAGGGGCGGTGGAGGTGGTAACTGCAGCAACAGGGACGGTGGAGGCAGCGACTGCAGCAGGAGGGGCGGTGACGGCAGCTTCTGCAGCATCTTCTGCGGTAGCATCTTCAGGAGGTATGGCAGCAGCAGCACCAGCACCGGCTGCGGCAGCAGCAGTGAAGGAGAAGGAGGAGGAGGAGAGAGCTGACGACGGCCAGAGCCCTGTGACCGGCAATCCTGGGAGGTCGGTGATGAGGAAACTCTTTCAGGGGAGCGGCCGGACCCTTGGGATGAGGAACCTTGTTTTCCCCAGCTCAATTGGTAAGTAACAAAGTAGCACGTGAGCGAGTGATAAAAGGTTTCCACGTGTAATCTGACAGTTTTCTATGTGTGTTCACAGACAAATACCTCACTGACTACCAGAGGCACCATGAGGGAAGCTGCCCCTCACAGAAACAGCTAGAAAACACCTTCTCCAAAGTCAGCAGGGTGAAGTCATTTTTGTTTTTTCTAAGCATGGGCAGCTCAGAGCTCCACACATGGAGGTTTCTGGACCAGCTGGAGAAAATAAGGAAGTAAGGGTGATTTTATTTGTCCTTGAGTTGTGAAAAGAGTCTGTGAACAGCGACTGAGTGCAGGCTTGTGCATTTTCAGATGGGTCGACACGCTGACCGAGATGGGAAAGACCATCACAACGGCAAATTTCTATCTGCGCAACGTGTTCCAATTCCTGAAATATTTCAAGGAGACGCCGCCACTCCTCTGTCGCCTCTCCCAGGCGCAGATCACCGGGGTGATCGGGGTGGTCCGGGCCGCCCTGGCTAATATAAATAAGAAGGTGGTGTTGCACCAGCTCCATGTTAAGGCTAAAAAAATGTCGAAGGTCATCGCCATGGAGACCCTGACGAGGTGCTGGAAGCTGGCCAAATCAAAGATTCCTGAGCTGCTGGGTGAGTGTTTCTCAGTGCACAGTAAGCCTCTGTGTTTGTCCAAGGTGCTGAAACACTTTTTTTCTTCTTTCCTCAGATGAACTGAAGGAATTGTGATGAAGTCTATAAAATAATTACTAATTTACCAAGTTCGTATACTGCTGGTGAGGATGAAATTTGTAGTAAAATTCTGAAAGCCATAGCATTTAATATCAGGGAGCCATTGACTTATTGTATTAATCTCTCTCTGCTTGCTGGAACTGTACCAAAAAGGACAAAAATTGCCAAAATGATACCAGTGTTCAAATCTGGGGATAAAAAGGATATGTGCAATTATCGTCCGATATCAATCTTGCCCACAGTTTTTAGAGAGAGTAGTGTACAATAGGCTATATGGCTACCTTGATAAACTTAATATTATTGCTTCTTCTCAATATGGTTTTAGGAAGAAAAGAACCACATGAAATAAATAATAATATTAAAAATATTAAATAAATTACACCATTATGGAATTAGACTATTAGCCCTTAGCTGGTTCAGAAGTTATCTATTTGGTAGACAGCAGTATGTAAGTATCAATGAACAAATTTCAATAAGCAAACCCATTAAATGTGGAGTCCCTCAGGGATCCATTTTGGGATCTTCTTCTTTTCTTAATATATATAAATGATTTTGGAAATTCCACAATGGCTTTATACAAGGTTTTATTTGCTGATGACACAAATCTATTTATGTCACATAAGAATCCAGACGATATGGAAGAAACAATAAATAGAGAATTACGAAATGTTGCTATCTGGTTTCGGTGCAATAAATTATCTCTTAACATAAATAAGACTAACTACATCGTGTTTCTTTCCAAACAAAATCAATTGGTAAATAAGTATGTCTGCCTTAAAATAAATGAACAAATTATTGAAAGAGTAAACACCATTAAATTTCTCGGAGTCTTTATTGATGAATGTCTACAATTCAAATGTCATATTGACCAGTTAATAACCAAATTATCAAAATACGTTGGACTATTTTTCAAAGTAAGACATTTTCTCCCGCAGTCAGCACTTGTTATCTTATATAAAACATTGTTTGAATCCCATTTAAATTATTGCAATGTCATATGGTGTAACACTTTTACTTGCTACCTGAAAAAAATACAGTCTTTACAGAAAAAAATTATACGGGTAATGACGTGGTCTGAGCCAAATACCCCCTCGCGTCTATTGTTTCATCGCCTGGGTCTATTAAGACTTACCGAATACAATTCTTTTCTTGTATGATATTCCAAGTTATTCATAAGCTAAATGACCGATTGTGTGAACTTGTCCCAGTCAGTCGACCCCAGCATACATATCACACAAGGGAAAAAGACTTAATTACTGGTAAAATCAGAAGTTTGAAATGTACGAGCCTGCGTGTAGTCTGTAGAGGTCCGCAGATTTGGAACAAGCTTGAGGAAAACCTTAAATTGGTGCATTCTGTCTCCGTTTTAAAAAAAAATCTGAAGGAATATTTGCTCTTAACATATACTTTTTGATCATTTTGGAAGTGTTATATTTGTTCTGGGATCGATCTTTTGTTTGTTTGTAGTGCTTGTGTTGTATTTATATTATTTGTTTTTATATATTATATATTATCTATATATATATTGGGCCCCCTCTTAAAAGCTTTAATAGCTTCTTTGGGGTTCCCCCTTTTCACACAATAACCTTCCTGTTACCATTGTAATTTGTCCCTAAAAATGATGATGTGTGTGTGTGAAATAAATATGAAATAAAAGTGAAATAAATATGAGGACAACACCCAGCAGCTCCGGTATAGATTTTACGGCTACTTTTCAGCCTTTGTGGCCTGCCTCTACGGTCACCGCCCGGGGGTCCTTACAAACATGAAGGTGGCGGAGGTGCAGGCTGCTCGAAAAGACAGCAAGGACGGGGATGATGGTTTTGTGGTTTGTGTAAGTATGATGTTTTTGACTGATGAATGTTTGTCAAATATTGGTCATTCTCTGATATTTTCACAATCTGCATACTTTTGAGAAGAGGATCGGGCTCGTTTGGACAGCCTGAAATGTTTCTGTTTGTCAGAATGTCACTCACAGAATCTTGTTTGTAAATGTGTCCACAGGTTAGCGAACACAAAACGAACAAGGACTTTGGGGCGGCACAAATATTTTTCCACCCCGAAGAGTTTGGCTGGCTGGAGACCTGGCTGGACCTGAGGGAGCGGTGCCACCCCCGAAACAACCTTGTGTTCTTTACAGCCAGTAAAGGGCCTGCAAAAAACATGGTCAGGTACATGCAGACGGCGTGGGGGGAGATGGGCCTCCCCGGAAAGCCCAACTTCATCGACATCAGGACGGGTGTGTCGGCACACGTGAGTTCTTTACATTCAGTCGTATTCAAGCAACTCTGCAATCCAAACAACCTGCTGCCTTCACTCACGTGTCCATTTTCTCCCTCTCCTCTGCTGTCTCCAGGCAAAGAACCACCACTCTGATGAGGTCCAAAAAAGAATTGCCACCTTCATGTGTCACAACACTGCCACTGCTGACCGATTCTACGCTCTCAATCTGGACGTAAAGCAGGCCAAAGAAATGCGGCTTCATTTTGAGGCAATGTCAGCCACCCCTGCTGCTGAATGCCCAGCCTCCACCTCCACAGGCCCCACTCACCGCACCTCCTCCAGAAAGAGAGCCAGGAAGGAATCCACCGACTCCAGTTCAGAGGAAGAAGGTGAGGTCCCGTACCAGGAATCTGAAGGTTCCAGCCTGGAGCAGGAGCTTGAGGAGATGCGGCAGAGGAAGGCCGCAGGCTTGGAATCGGAGAAGGAAGACGACGGAGCCGAAGGCCCACCTACACTGCCCCTTGTTTACTACTTTCTGCATGTAGTTCCTTTTGTTTGCTGTTTGTGTGTTTTGAAAATAAATTACATAGTTGTTTACTCGCATGGGTCAAATGATTTATTTTAAGTTAGCTTTGGGTGCCTGAATAATTGAAAAGTTTCTGACATTTCACTCAACATTTGGACTTGTGTTTTTGGGGGCCTCCATCAACCATGACCAGGATTACAGAAGTCTCCCCAAAACTCCTAGGACAGGCTCTCATTACGGAGGGGGACCTCCAGGAACAGTAGAGGGGCCCCCAGCTGTGGTTCAGGTACCGACAAGGTGGGTTTTTGACATTTGGGAAGCTTTTTGACATTTGTCCAGACAATTGGGAACACAGACCCCCCCATTGTAAGTGATGCTAAATGTCAAAAAATAAGGAAATGAGCATTTTTTGACATTTGGCATCACTTTCAATGGGGGGTCTATGTTCCCATTTGTCAGACTGGACCTTGTGGTCCTGGGCCCCCCAGGAACCATCACCAGTATCCACATACACCAGGACAGACTCTCAATAATGAGGGGGGCTCCAGGAACAGTAGAGGGGCCCCCAGCTGTCTTTGAGGTACCCTCCAAAGTGACATTTGACATTTGGGAAGCTTTTTGACATTTGTCCTGACAATTGGGAACACAGACCCCCCCCATTGTAAGTGATGCTAAATGTCAAAAAATAAGGAAATGAGAGAGAGAAATATACAAGACATTCCATCAAACTCATTTTTGACAGCTATTTCCTGTAAGAGAAGGGGGGAAGGGGGATGGAAGGTGGGGACAACAGGGAAAAGCTGTGGGAAACACCAATTGCAGAAAGCAACGAAACCTGCAATAGAACAGAGAGGGGGGCTTGGGGAGGAGAAAAACAACAAACAAACAAACAAACAAACAAACAAAAACAAACAATACAAATAATAATAATAGTAAAAGACAACCAGCCGAACAGCAGCAATAAACAGCCGACATAGTAAGACAACTAAGAGAAAAATGAAAACAAGAAACAATCACACACACTAAATAAGCAACACAGCACAGCCACGAGAGCTGGAAGAATAATTAATTTAAAGAATAATGTTCTGGCTGATATTGTACATGACGTTAATTATTGCCATGGATGTATGCTATACAGTGGTGCTCGAAGTTTCTAAACCTTTTAGAATTTTCTGAATTTACTGGCTTCCTGTCTCACTCAGGATTGAGTACAAGATGTCACTCCTTACCCACTAGTGCATCCATGGTGAAGGTGAGATTGTACATTAAATGCCTTTGAAATCATCTATGTGCTCTATATGTTGGATAAATATTGTATGAAAAGACTTGTATGGATTCTCTTCACTCATTACTATTCAAACATTGGAAAATACCCTGCTGCTGTAAACTTCTGAATTAGTGAGAAGGCTGCCTTGTGGATTATCAGAATTCTCCTCCCGAGTCTGACGGGAGCTCGCATCTTTTTCCCCGTCTCCACATGACACAGCTACTCTTTCAACCATTAAAAAAGTTAATTTTGTGACGGTCTTTTTTTCCTCGTCTCCACATAACACAGCTACTCTTTCAGCAATTAAGAAAGTTCACTGTTTTTTACAAGGCAGAGTGGTTATATTTTATTTCGTTTCCCATTAAGTTAATTTATTAAAATCTCTGGAGCATTGTTTTAGATAAGGTGAAGGTTTTGGTTTTCGATAGTGGCAACATTTGTCATTTTTAATAGAATATTCCTCATTTGCAATATAAATATAACATCATTCCTTTGGAATTGTACCTCGAATTACATTGTTTTTGTAAGTTACTGTAGAGGCTGCAGTCCAGACGGAGGGCATTTTTTTTAAATGTAAAGAGGAGCCAGACCCAGTGAGCAAAACAAACACATTTTAATGGCACAACACTTTGAACAATGTTTTGTCTCTTGTCACTTTACAATCATCTATATATGAACAACAATATCTGTTATGTGTAGTACCTAATTGAATATAATATATATGAAATATAGTAATTATATTAAGCACTTAAGTTAATTCTTGTCATTTATGGACATGCTTAGTGTTGTGAATCTACTGAGAGCAGCACTGAGGAACTGCCAATATTTGCACTTCTACCAGTGAGTGAAATATTAATTATTATTGATGGATGTTCTATACATACATACAAACTCCTTTTCAATAAAAGTTAGGATTTTTCCCAAATTGCAATCAATATCAAAATCTGGGATGTGTAAATTCACATGAATCTTTATTTAACTGACAAAAGCAAAAAGAAAATATTTTCAACAGTTTTACTGACCAGGGTAATTGTATTTTTTCAAATATTAAAAATTCACAATTGTGTAATCAGGGAAAACGCAGGAAACTGACATACACACCAGAATTTGACAGACTCTTAAGAACCCTGGAGCTGGAGGAAAAGCTCATAAGATGCCTAAGGATAGGTCTTTGGAATATCTTGTACTGGAAACAGGCACGTGCACACAGACATCAAACAGACATCCTTTTTTCTGGGATGCTTGTTTTGTTGTTGTTTTGTTGTTTTTTAAATAAATGAATATACAGTATATTTATAACAGATTCCCTGTCAAACAAATATATTTATTGGGGGAAAAATCTAAATAGGCTATCAGGTCGGAAGATGAGACTTTGGAGTTCTGATGCGCTCCCCCCTCTTATTTCCATTAGAGTAAAAGAAGACATGGAAGCAAAATAGACCAAAGTCTCAAAATTGACCACTCCATGAAAAAAGTGCCTTAGAGAGTAACTTCATAGTTTTTAGTTTTGATGGTAGGCTCCTCATCTAATAACTATCCATCCTATTAGTTTGTTGTATGCTGACAGATCTTGACATACACTGACAGCCCTCTCTCAAATGTGAAACTAAGTCCATGTCACCATCAGTAAGTGTGTGTGTGTGTTTGTTTGTTTGTTTGTTTGTTTGTGTGTGTGTGTGTGTGTGTGTGTGTGTGTGTGTGTGTGCGCGCGCATGGTAAATGTAATATAATAGAAACAATAATAAAGTATTTGATCAATACATTAATGTATTCAGGCAATTCAGTATTCTGTTGCTTGGCTGTGAATCTGAAGGTTATCTTTAGCCATTTGGCATCTTGCTTGTGAAACAAAAGAGTAAAAGTATTTAAATAACATTTATTTTAATTTTGCCTGCAGCCCAATGCAACAGTTTAGTGTGAAGATTTATGTAAAGTGTTATGTATTCCAATAACACCAAAAGAATTGAAACGATTTATTGTGTGAAAAATAACAAATTATTAATGAGACTGTCATTTATTCTAAATATATACTTGAAACTAGTAGCATAGAAAACATGCACATTGTGGCATAGTTTTTGCCTTTGCTGTCGCTTGCTCCTGCGATAAACCTAGTGAATACTAAAGAAGACCGTCTCACTCCTCAACGATTGCAAATATATTGACAAAGAGACGTAACTGGAAATCTATTGGTCCAATCCACACAAGAAACCTGTAAGTCCTTAGCATGTAGTGTACCTTTAATGGACTCGGGGTGCTCAACAGAATGTTTGTATGACTGACTGATGGGCAAACAGTGGCTCAATGAGTCTTTTTGAATGAGTGTTTATAGAGACAACTCACCCAATGGTATGGATTGTCTCGGTTCCTTGCTGACAAAGATGTTGATAATCCAGAACACAGCAGGATGGGAAATTGGAGTTACCTTGAAAAGCCTGGTAGAAACACACACATACAAACTCAGGAGTGGACGTTGGCATGCAGCATGTGTCAGTTCTGCCTACTTGCTGTGACCCAATGTGGCGTGTGGCCAGCTGGGTTGGGTTTGCTTGAGTATATGATGTGACTTTCTATACATTTTTGACATCCACGCACCAAACCTCATCCAGCTGCTGACAGTAGGTTCCCCCTGTTTATGTCCATGCTAAGATAAGTTATCCACCAAAGTTGGACAGAGTTCTGGTCATCTGTCATGATCTCATGTTCTCCTGTTTGTGGCAATACTAGGCTTACAGGACATTTTGCATCAATGTGATAACGTGCCTCCATTTTTGAAGAATGGATACATTTAACCTAAAGACAAAATGTGACAAATAAGGAAACTAAGAGTTTAGAAAGATAACTAGGCGTCAGTATGTGCAAATCTGTTTAAATGAATTATGAAACAAATAATCATCATCTACTAATTGAAATTTTAGACTCAATACTAAGGGGAATCTCAGCCTTTCAGGACCTAAGAATGGTTGCCAGCTATCACATACTGTAATTGTAATTTTCGTTTAAAGTACACGGGAAACTTTCCATTGGAATAATTCTGTATCAATGCAATATAGTTGGAGACTTTTCTTTCGTCCAGTGGAGCAAACTGAACTGTCTGGTAAATAAAAGTTGCTTATAGCTTATGGTTTCTATTTTAAGCTTAGTGATCACAAGAAACATCAGCACTCACATCATTAATTAAGCAGTCGTGTAATGCCATGATGTTACACTAGTTCTTCTAAACTTCTAATTGTACTCAATTTAGCCTTGGAGTCTTTGTTTAGTCTAAGTTGTTCGTTTGGTGCACTTCAGTACAACACAAGGACTATACCAGCGCTGTCTATAAGTTTAACCAAGTAGCTCAGCAAATAGTTATTGCATCATGATCGCTATGTGGATTTTGAAAGTACGTTTTTTAGCCAGGATACATGCTGTATATCATGACTGGACAATTTCAGCATATGATTAAGTCTCTGTCACCTCAACACCTCTCCAATGTCAGCAAGTGGGTGCTTGATTTAAGTGCAAACAACCGCCACAGCTTCTGAGCTTTAGTCAACATCACCACCACTCCCGTTTCCACCTGTTTTAGTGTATGCTTTGGGGAGTGATAGGGTCAAGACACTAAACATTAACTATTCTGCGTGGTATAAATAAACCTTTCTATGGGAGTAATGATTTTTTTCTGAATGTGCCCAAACAGCACAACAGTTTGACAAGAACTAATCAAAGATCACTTCATATAGGTCGATTTAGGCATATGGTATTTGTC